TCATAATTGGGAAGCCACAGAACAACAGTATGGAGTATTTAGTTACCAAAAAAGCACCACCACTTGGATGACTTTTAATTAAAGAATTATTCCTCCTGACCCATGGCTCCCATGGCTTCCTGATGATGACAGAGATTGAATGGGAGTCATGGAAGCCTCAGAACAGAAGTAGGAAATGATTCATTTCTGAAAAATCACCCTGCTTATGACATCATTAGCCTTATATGGCCTAGGTGCATGCAGAAATTTCAACCATCAGTGTCAAGTGAATAGTCTCACCATTAATAAAAAATAAACTTTCATCATCATTTACATGAGGAAAGTAAAATAGAATAAGTTACTCAAAATAAGAGTTTTAGGCAGTAATTAAAATGATAAAGACTGTCACTACAGAAGAAAGGTGTTTTCTATAGCTTGCTGTACATTTATTGTACTTTTTTGAAACACCATGTTATTTTTTTAAAAAATTGAAGTGTTACTAAACTGCTAGTCTTTTACGTATTATAGCCCTAATCTTTTTTTTAATGTAACTTATTGCACTTTTAGTTGCATGTCATTTTTTTTTCACAATCTGTGAGCTGCCTTGGGTCTCTTTGATTGGAGAAGGGCAGCATAGGAATAAAATCAATCTATCAAGATGGAAGTGAATGAAATTTGGGAAGAATAAAGAGTTCTGTACTTTCAAAATCAAGTTATGAAAAATGTTACTCATCATTTTACAAAGCAGAATCTGAAAAAAAAACCCCACAAAAACAGTTTGTATGGATTAAATCTTCACAACTACTATTATACCACAGAGATCCTGATTAAAAATTGCCATCCTTCTGGCCTGCAAAGTCTCTTTTTAAAAGTGTATAAAATGCACTAGACACATTTCATCTTATTCTATTGGAGGTGGGGGAAGTACAAAAAGAAGGGTTTTCACAAGGGATCCTTTCTAAAATTTTCAGATATCTGCTATTCCTCTATTTCAAACTGAACAAAAAGTGGCATTTTAAAGAACAGTGCTATTTGTCCTCTGCTGGAATTAATCCAGTGTCATAAGAGTAGCCAAGAACTGTAGCTTTCCAAAGGGGAAATTGACAGGCTTAGCAAATGTCAAGAAAAGGTCTCCAGCACAGAGATGCTATGCCCTGAGAAACTCTGAAGGAGAAAGAGGAATGTGTAAATGGTTAGAAATCCAGTTCCAGCACTGTTTGCTGAGATATGGAAGTACCTGTGCTACTTTACATCTGATTTTTCATCATCTTTGGTATTGTATTGTATTAAACTAAGATCTGAGAAAAAAAATCAGATTTTAATATTTATTAATTGAAAATCCCCTCTCCCCAATCATTGAATAAAGTAGAATAAAGGCCAATGTAAATGAAGTTCACATTTATGTTATTGTTTAGTTGTTAAGTCATGTCCGGAGTTCACATTTATGTTATAGTTTAGTCGTTAAGTCATGTCCGCCTCTTCGTGACCCCATGGACCAGAGCATGCCAGGCCCTCCTATCTTCCACTGCTTCCTGGAGTTTGGTCAAATTCATGTTGGTAGCTTTAATGACACTGTCCAATCATCTCGTCTTCTGTCATCCCCTTCTCTTGCCTTCACACTTTCCCAACATCAGGGTCTTCTCTTCTCATGAGATGGCCAAAGTATTGGATCCTCAACTTCAGGATCTGTCCTTCCAGTGAACACTCAGGATTGATTTCCTTCAAAATGGATAGGTTTGTTCTCTTTTCAGTCCAGGGGACTCTCAAGAGTCACTTCCAGCACCACAATTCTAAAGCATCAATTCTTTGGCAGTCAGCTTTCTTTATGGTCCAGCTCTCACTTCCATACATCGCTACTGGA